CACCCCGCAGGGGATTCCCATCATCCTGGCAGGAGATTTCAATGCCGCACCCGACAAATGGCTAGACGTGTGGCGAATCCCATCCCCCTGCCTGACATATGTGGGGATAGATGAACAGATTGTGGCGGACCTCTGCTCTTCCCTCAACGTTTACGATACATTCCGTAACCTATACCCCACCAAACACGCGTTCTCTTGCCTGCGAACAAGCAGACCAGAAAGAATCACTAAATCAATAATCGATCTAATACTAATCTCCATGGAAATTGAAGGTTCCCTACAAATTGCAGAAAACTTCTCACGAAGTCCACACCCCGACCTGGACCACGCAATGTGCGTGGCGGTCCTCTCGTTTCGAAAAAAAACAGACCAAGATCCTGGATTCTACAAGTTGAACACCTCACTACTGACGCAACATTCCTTCCAATCCTTTGTCAAGGACACGTGACACGACTGGCAGTCCCACAGGGATACAGTTCAAAATGACATTGTATGGTTTAACAATGGCTTAGCCTTCGTGGCAAGAAAATGTTGTGAATACTCAAAGATGATAGAAGCATAGAGAAACAGAGAAGAAATTGAACTCCAAAACCTCTTAAATGATCTAAACCAACAGCAAGAGCAAACTCGGGGAGAAATCAGCAATCGGCTATTCGTCGCCACTCAAGAAACAGAGTCTCACCTCCTCAACCGTATGGAACATAGATGGAACGGTACACGCATTCGAGGTAAGTTAAACAAGCAAAGGACGAAAGGAACCATGGACGCGAGTTTTTTTGCTATGGCCAGGCTCTGGGTAGGGAGGACGACCATTGATGCCCTTACTGATCCGACACAAACCCAAGCCAGCCATCCACCACCACACCACAATGTGTCTATATAGCGAGGAAATTCTACCAAACCCTCTTCACATCGCAGTGCAAGCACTCCCCTGAGGACTAAAGAATGCAAGAAATTGGGGAACTTTTGACCCCCCTCCAAAAACAGTTTACAGAACGACAAAAGGCAGCCTTAGAGATGCCGCTTACAAAGGAGGAGGTATGGGCGGCGCTAATGCAGATGGAGGAGGAAAAAACCCTCGAAATAGACGGGCTACCCAAGGAATTTTGGGAGACAATGCGCCCCTCCCTTGCACAGGAACTGATGGATTATTACCATGCGGTTTGGACAACGGGGCAGATGGGGGAGTTCGTGGAACAAGGGGTGCTGACCCTGCTCCATAAGAAAGGAAACAAAATGAATATTAGGAACTATCACACTCTTGACCGTGGTATATAAGATGGTAGGTAGCAAAGGCGCTGGCAAACTGCATGGGGCCACTGATGATGGACATTATACATCCCGCACAAACCGGTTTCATTAAACGAAGGAAGATCAAAAACAATATCCTCCTCATTAATGAAGTCTTTAAGTTGTCCCCGCCAATCTAGGCACAACGGAGCAATCATTTTTGTGGACTTTGAGATTGGTTTTTCCTTGATAAATGCCTGGAGAAGTTCAATTTTGGTCCGCGCGTGAGGGGAAGTATGGCCCAATGCAACATATATTATCTTTGTTCTCTTTGTCAAATGGGACGCCGGACCCGCTTTCCAGCAGGTGCGGCTCCCCACAAAAAGATAGGAGCAACTGGATGGAAAAAAAAAAGAAAAAAAAAAGGAAGAAAGAATAGGTTCAGATATGTTCAGACTACCTCAGATCAGAGTAATAGGGTGATACGGTAGTATAGAGGCGGGGGTCATAAACAGAGAATAGGGAAGTTTAGGTTCGAACGTGATCAAAGAGGATGAAGGAGCACCTTGAAGGGGAGAGGGGGG